GGAATTACTGTGTACTAAAAGTTTGTATCAAGAAAGAATAAACTGGTTTAATCAAAAAAGGACTGGTATCGCTGAAGTTCCTAGGAAAGAATTTTACCTGAAATTAACAAACCAGCAGATACGTAACAGTAACCTATTCCACCGGCTAGTCAGGCTGTAGTTGCTCTTATTGTCTAAAGGGAATGACAAACAGCGCGCAGATAGCACAAGTCGCCTTGGGAAGATATAATGCTATAGCTTTAAGTATATAACGTGATGTTTTCTCAGTTTGAAATAAGCAACTAAACTCCACTTAGATAAACATCTCAGGCTACTTTTCAACTTATACGAAAAAGAAAAGATGATTGTCCGATGTGCTAGTTAAAATGCATACTTTGCAGCTTGTACTCTTGAACAAAGGTTATTTTTCATTGCGTGTTTACATTTGTGCCCAGTCTCTCTCTTTGTTCCACAAATACAGTTAGACTCAGAGAATTCGGAATTATTTCGTAGTACATATCTTGGTGGAATCTACTATTATTCTGCGGACCTATCTCATACTCTCTTGGGAGGAAAGGTTAAGATTGATCTAAGAATATCACACATTATGTTAAGTCTCTTTTCTTCAATTCAGTCAACTCAAAAGTTAAGTCTTATTCAACAATATCTATTCTGCCAAGTCTCTAGCTAGAGCAGTTTTAACTTAATAATTTTGAGTTGATAGACTAGAAGAAAAGCAGGTAGTCAACATTACTCTCCGTCCATTCTTGGGCTTTTCATTTCTGATCACATAAAGGACTTGACTCTTATAGTGCACTCACAGCCCCAATATGAGAAAAATATATTCACGATAGCGGGCTGTGTACCATGCACTCTTGGATTTATAATCCGAGCACATTATTCACCAGACAACGCCAGACCCATCTAATAAAGATGTGTTTTATTTGTTCACGTACGTTTGTTTGTTTCCTTTGCCCTCCAAGTTAATCATAACTCTCTGTATATTATTTTGCGGTTACATGAACTTCTCTGTCAAACGTCAATGTACCTGAATACCACTCACTAACAACCAGCAAGGTCTGTTTACTTTTGTTCTAATATTGATAGGTTTACATTTTGTTTAACTATTATTTTCTTCTAGATGTCACTACTTTCGACTAAAGCATCGTTTCATGTTGAATGGTTAGAATTGTTAATTGATACCGATTATATTTTGGTATTAAATAGTTAACTAGATTAAAATTAAATTGTGCGGTTAAGTAAAACGTGTAACAAAATGACGACGGAAACTAAATCTTTCGCTGAAATTTTTCAGTCATTCCAAAAACACATTGACACTGAACAGGATCTTCGTGAGGTGAATCTGATTTACGTATTTACTTAGGTTACTAATAGTAATACACTATACACTAAATTAAAATTTAAACAATACATTGATAGCGATACTGTGAACTGTGTGATATTTGACTGATAGTGATAATGATAGTTATTCTTTCGTATTAAAATTCTTGTTATCAGTTAATCAAGTTATGTGTTGCTGTTAGTGAGACTGTATCTGGTCGTACTCACTATATTTGTACTACTACTAGTTAGTAATAAAATTGGTATTAACTTCTATCACATTATTACTTTTGTAACATGACTTGTAACAACCATCATACACGAAATCTTATCAACACTATAAAGCGTTGAATATCTTAAAACTACAAATAGCGAGTCCTAATGTAAACAGTCTTTTTCAAGACTACCACAGCAACAATGAATTTGTGGTAATGGAAACAATTTAACAGTAGTTTTCAAAACTTTACACCACGTCTTTATGACTCAATATATTTAGCAACCTATCATAACCACTCAAGTCTCACCCTTAATTCTGGTAATATATATTACTATATTATGATGATATGTTTTATATTAAGTATTATAAGGAGTATAAGTCTGCAGACTTATAAGTCTATATGTGTTCCTTATGGTTTTGTATTGTCAACCTAAATTAATATTGTTAAGTTTGTAAAGGTATCCAAGTGATGAAAGAATTCATAACAGATTTAATAAATGTGATAATAAAAAAACATTCAAATATGTCATTATGTATTAAATGATTAACGTACATTGATGTTTAGGTTTGGTCTTATGTTGAAGTAGCTTGTTCCAATCAGAAGTTAATATTAATGTACCATTATTAGCTAGAACTAGAAGTTAAAAGTAGGATATGATGACATCTGTTCACTTTCATGTTTGTTCAGTAAGAGACATGATATATTGATAAGTTAAATGAAGATAAAATGTGAGTTTTGCAAAATACAGTGGTTAAAATCACAACCTAAAGTGTTTGAAGTTGAATTGCACATATGAAAATGTATAAATACGCTAATTACTGATACCAATAATGTACATAACGAAACATTGCACTAATACTAGCATATTTCATATGTCTTGTTCAATAACAAGTCAAGATAAGTATGAATATTAATAAAGGACAAGTATTGTAAGTAGAAGTTACATTGTATTTATAATGATTAATCTCAGAATAAAAGCAGTAATATATATATATGTATGTATGAAATTGTGCTTTGATATACTGAGGTATATCCAATAAGGTTACACATAAAGACATCTTCCTTCTTTATCATAGTCTCGTGATTATTGTGCCAGTGTCTGGTTTCTACCTCATTTTTATAGTAATATTAATTACACACAGATTACGAGGTCTATAGCAAATAACATGAACCACTTATTTTTAATGTATGTTTTGAACAGACTTATTTTTCTCAACCAAGACTAAGTATTTTTTTACATCATATTTGTATACGTTCATTGATATGTTTCACATGCATTTAGACTGATTGTGAAACATATGTTGCTGTACAAACAAACACAATGTATTACACGAAGACTAATAGTTTCTGAAATAAATGTATATTGAAAACAAATGACGCGTATAACTCGCTTATTATAATTAGTTTTCAGTCCAAAGAGCAGAATTTTATAGTTATATTTCCACCCGTACATGTTCCAAGAAAGTAATGAATTATTGTCAAGAAACTGGTATGAGCCTCCTCCCATTTCTCCGCCAACAGTCCATGAGCAAACAGACATGTAAGGAAGGGTTTGTTTAAATGAAATAGCCGCAAAACTATAGAGCCAATTAGAATATAGTCAGGGGTGAAATTCTCAGAAAAAAAAAGTAGAGGTACTAGGCTGGCTGAAGTGGACCTGTTTTTGAAAAAAATAAAATAAAAATTAGGTGTAAACATAAAAAATGACAAAGCAGCTTAAATAAGTCCTGGTGCTAGTACCACCTTAAAAATTATGTTCCAATACTCAGTACCGGTGAATACTGGCAGAAGTTCACCCCTGAATACAGTAAAGTTAACTACTCAGATGTATATGAAATGTCAGTCATCAATATAGCTATATACGGATGTCATTATTGTTACATTAATAAAACAATCCAAATAAATCACAAACAACAAAAACTTACACTATTTATGTGTTTTGGGACATATAGATTTTTTATGTGAAAGTTTGAGGTCGATATTGGTTATAAATGAGTTGTTATAAACAGTAATTCTATAGTCTGTGCCACTTTTACGTTTATTGTTTATGATGTATCTAGATATGTGATGTAATAATATGTATACAAAGAGTTTCTTATAGGGCAGTATAAGTAAGCTTAGTTTGTTCAATATGTATAGTTTCTGGTGCTTGTTATTTTAAATGTAACAGTAACATCTTTTCCTAACTTCAAGGTATATTATTATCTCCAGTAGCAATTTGAATATGTATAATTTGTGAGAGGAAAAACTTCAAAATTAAAAATGGCCAACAAGTGTAAACATGATATTATGCAAGATGACAATGCTTTGCATTTCTTACTATTCTAATAGTAGCAAGGATGAAGATGTAAAATTATTAGGACAACAAGGGGTCTGTTCGCTCATCAGGCTGTCCCATACAGTTAGAAAACAACTCTGGTCCATTCTAAGGGGCACCAAAATTGACATTGCAATTTGTAGTTCGTGTCAGTTTTACTGGGACAGGGGTGCCAAATACAAAGTTCACAAATGCCACAATTTTGCTTAGAGCCAGCCTCTCAGAGCACTACTTTGATAGTTTCAGTGACTTACCTACCATTTGTAAAATATATTATAGTACTACAGTTAGTATAGTAATATATGTGTAGTACTGTAGTTGTAGTAGTACTTAGTTAAAATGACCTTATTTTGTAAGATAAATTCAGGGGAACTTGTATAAAATTTTGTACCTGTAACATTGAGGCTTCTTCGACAACTCCATTTTCACTTGCTAACAGTTAGCTCAAATACAAATTGGATCTTACTGTTTAATACTAACAGTATTTTTAAACCTTGTTTCGGTAGGAGCCATCTTCAGCTAAGACAGTTGTATTTTTTAACAGGGTGGTTGGTCTATGTCCATTTTTTCAAGTTTAGCTTAGGAAAGTTGATGTTTCTCATAATGGGCATGTGTTAATGCTTGTTTTGTGTTACTGTTTTAAGGAGCATGTTGAAGTTTTCTGCTATTGTTTTTTTTTCACTATTTGGACTTCTATGTAACTATCTGACTAGCATAACATTATTACTGTTCAGATTTATTTATATTTATCCAGCAGTTCTCAGCAAGAAAACTTATAATTTTCTCTTCAAATGCTTCCATTTCCTTGATGTACATAATGACTTCTCTGCCTTTATATATATGAAAGAATCAGCGAATGAATTGTATCCTTCTCCTGAAAAAAATTAAATGTCATTGCCTCATGAAAGATCTCCACTATCCCTCTATTTTCTGTTTTGATTTTAGTTCTAAGTTTCTCCAGGACAAAGGACCATTGCTATCCTTGTTCACCCACTCTTGAGACAAGTAGAAACTTAAACTTGCTCTTTATTTTTCAGGAAATATCAATTCAGGGTTTAAACTTGTGTAAAGATGGCCTCATTTAATGCTGATACCAATTCATTCTGTAAGTCAATTACCATGTTAGAAAAATAAAACTGCCTTATTTGGAACCTAGCCTTTCTTTTCCAAATGTTAAACTTGTCTTCTTAGTTTTATTTTCTTCAGATTATAGCATAAAGGAATCAAAAGCCTTTATCTCATTAGTCCCTTGGATGTACTTGTAAACTTCAATAAGATTGTGCCTTAATATTTTGCTCTTAGAGATTTCAAGTCATCCCTATAAGATAACCCTTTCATCCCTTTTCAGTTTATGTAGTAAGACAGATAGCTATGTTCTTTTGGCTTGAGTAATATTGTTACAGTTGATTAATCACATTGCTCATTTTTGTTGTCGTAACTAGGCAGGGTCAAAACAAGTAGAGCAGATTATTTTAGTTTCCTCTGTACATCACAGTTTTTGAGGTAAAAAGCTGGCAAGTTTAAGCTTAAGAAAAAGTAGAATTGCTGATGCATCTGTCTTAAGTTATTATTAATTTATTATTTTGGTAATTTTAAATAAAAGGTTGTAAGAGTATTGGCCAAAGGTAGACATTCTATTGTGTTGATAATTTGGAAAGCATAGAGTAGCATTCTATTTATTTGTTTTGTGAAAAGAGAGAGACATGTGCTGTTAATGAAATTTGATGTTCTCATAGTCAGATTTGATTAAATGTCTACCTTAAATGAGTGGATGGTGGCCATTTCAATAGAAATTTGCAAAAAAGGTTGTTTGTATTGGTTGAAAAATTCCTTATTTCCTCTTAAATTTCAACTGATATTTTTTAAACAAAAAAGGTGCTTGACAGATTGCTATGAGCGAATTCCTATATTTTTCTTCAAGATTAGGGTTTAATTTTTTGCTGTTGTTTTAATAAAGTGAAGTATTAGTTGAATTGCAAATTATTCATTCAGTAAATTTCAATAGAATATATTTTATTTATGATTTAACAAACTATATCCTGTATCAAGTAAAAAGTGCCTAAACTATAACCTGTATCAAGTAAAAAGTGCCCTAACTGTAACCTGTATCAAGTAAAAAGTGCCCTAACTATAACCTGTATCAAGTAAAAAGTGCCCAACTATAATCTGTATCAAGTAAAAAGTGCCCAAACTATAACCCGTATCATGTAAAAAATGCCAACAACAATGAACTTGGATGCGTAAGTACAGCATGGGAAGGTCTGACTAAAGGTTTCAGTGCAGATTGAATTAGCTGAGAATAGTGCAATAAAAGAATAAGTACGAGACTTGAGTGGAAATTTTGAAAAGGAGGATTATGAACAAATTCAAAAGGAATTGGCTAAAAAGGACTGCTACTGTTTCTCAAAGATTAGTGGCAAAGACAAAAACTTAAAGGATTCATATGATTTCTGGTTCAGTTATACTGTTAGGTTTTGGCAA